GGGGGGGGTGGTCTTACAAATGCACACTGCACTGTTTGAAGCACAAGAAAAAAGATTTAGAAAGTTAAATGTAATGGTGTTGGCTCTTCTTGTTTCAGACTCGGCTTGTAGTGTGCAGTGCTCTTGTGTCACTTTGTGTAAAACATGTGTGGACGTGTCATTACAATTACATGTGTCATGTTTTTTGGTTCTTCATGTTAGCCACAACCTTGCTAATTTGTTTTTATTGTTTTGGCCACATGGGAGCAGCAACAAGACATTGGCATCTTCTTATAAAGGAATATAATATAATAATTATTATTATTGTTAATCTACATAAAATAATAATATGTTTTCACACCTAGCTAGTTGCTTACTTTGTCTGTCTCCAGCTTGGTGTTAGGCAGGTGGCGTTCACTCTGTTTTTCAGAGCTTTTAGTGGAAAAATATGCTTAATGCTTCAACACTAAAATGCTTCATATGGTTTTTTTGGTCTTTTTCTCTGCATTCTAATATTTATTCCAGACTAAAACGTAAAAGCTCCTGTGAAGTAGGATGAAGTTGAATAGTACAACAAAAGCATCGCAGCTTTTGGACGAGGGTTCATGCTGAACACAAACAGGCTGTGGTCTCAAATATAGCGCCACTTTTACCTACCGCGCCATTAAAAAGGAAGGTTTGTTATATTAAGGTATGCTTTATGGGTTAAAAAAACACCAACCTGAGGGGTCACACTGGCTGACAGTGTCTGTCTCCGTCAGCCGCGTGTGCCTGTAGCTGGCCAGGTAGCGCCGGACCACCTGGCATTTAGCTAGAAGGGCGATAAGAATGGAGATGGAGATAGCTGTGGCCAGGACAGCCACCAGGAACTCCCAGTTGTGAGATTTATATTTTGGTGTCTGGGTTGCCAGCGTGACTGCAAGAGAGGGAAATTAATCGCACACCTTGTCATTGTGGAAAGCACCTTAAGAACCAAATCTCGGCTCCCACCACAAACCAGGTGGACCAAACGTTTAGTCCTTCATCATTCATTTTTAGATGGCTGTCTTCACCAAAAATGATCAATACCCAGATTTAGACTAAACTGCCGAGACTCCAAGTACATTTTTCTGAAGATAAATTCATTGTTTCTGTTTAACATTGCAGTCGTAACTGCATTCTTACCGTTTTGTGTTGCTGTTGGTGTAGCTGTAGAGAGCATGCTATTTGATGATGGTTCCATCTGGCTTTGCTCTTGTTTGTTTCAGTCTCTTTTGGGGAATGACTTCTCCTCTGCGACTCAATTTCCTTCTTGTTGGATGCTCTTGCTTTGGGGCACCATCGACTCTAGCATGAAGCCATGGATATTGTCAGTCAAAGAACAGTTTTTCGTGACCTGCCAATGTTATGCCTGGAGAAGAGGTTTTAATTCCTTCTCCAACCGGTGTTTGGGAATGTGCAACAAAGCTGCTTACTGCTGCACTGTCTTCAGCAGGTAAAAAACAAATGGGATCAGAGGGAAATGTTGCAGGGCAGGCATCTCCCCAGATGAGGGAGGTAGTTGTCTGGAAGATTTCTGCTGACCAGTAGGGAATTAAACCTTTAAAGCTCCACTAGATGGTGAGGTTGAGTGACAGGGTTGGTTCAGCAACAAGTTAAAGGTGGTGGCAGCATTGTCATCCTATGAGTGGAAGTATGAGCCCGCGTCCTCTGGCTCTGGTCAATTGAGGCTTTAGAGAAAGTGTGAAATAGAAATAGCGAGTTAAATCAGTATGAATCACACATACTATCACACTTGCAGTAGAATACAATATCAGTAAACTCCAATGCCCCCGTATCCCACTTGCATTGTGGCTTTGAATTCTTTTGGAGTCTTTGTGCCAGCAAATGCATATTTTATAACTGAACCACACAAAAAGAACTTGAAAAATCAAATGACCTAAATATTTCACTTAGTATGTATGAAGAGTGAGAGTGTCATCATGAAAAGGAGACGCTGCCTGGATCCTCTGAATCTAGAAGTCATAATTGAGTACAAGCTGTCAGGAGCTCAGGAGGATGTCATCCACAACAGGAAAAGTGTGTCGCAAACAGGAAGGTCCCGCATACTGCAGGACCTTCCTCCGTAGGTCTAGCTGACACAAAGCGCTGGTGAAATCACTGTGTGTGTGTGTGTGTGTGTGTGTGTGTGTGTGTGTGTGTGTGTGTGTGTGTGTGTGTGTGTGTGTGTGTGAAATAATCTGACAACAGGGATCAACACTAACTTTTAAAAGTGTCTGTAAAGCTGGCAACCAGGCATCAGCTTTTCATTGCCGAAACTGAAAACACGATTGCCATTTTTACTCCCCTTCTATTTTGAGAGAGTAATATACTCTCCAGTTATACGTCATTGCTGATGCAACAAATATATTTGATCTGGGGTGCACATTTTGCTGTTTTTTGGCACAATTTTGTTTATTTGTTGAAAGGCCAATAATTGGTTGCCAATATCTCAAAATGGTGTCCAATGGCCACCTGGCAATGTATCCCTCCAAGCTTGCTACAATACAGGAGTCACACACTAAATGAAGCTCAAAGGGCAATGGAAGCCTACCAGACATTATTTGTTTATAACAACAAACATGCCACATGGCCAATATATAAAGGAGATGCAGATGAAAAATGCAATAGGAGAAATACACTTTTTTACATTTTTGGTAGAGCATTCAATAAGAAGCTACGGCCAGCAGCAGATTAGTTTAGATTAGCCAAAAATGAGTCAGACATTTGATCCTCCTCAAAATGTTTCAAAGATTTGTCATTCAATATATCATTTTCTAATGGTTTTTCTAATGTTTTATGTTTTTCAGATGTTTTTAAAAATCTAACTTTACAACCAATAAAAGAGGCCATTTGTTTGCTGTAATGTGAATTCAAGCTTACATTTGTTTTCTATGTCAAGGATTATATTTGTTTGGTTTGCAATGGACAGAAGCAGAGGTTCCCGTGCAGAAAGCAGAATATGTGGGCATGAATCTGAGCTATAAGAATAGTTCAACATTTTTGAAAATAGCACAAAGACCTGGCTCTGTCCAAAAGTAACAAATTCTGCCAACCGGCACCTTTTAAAGCTCACCAATTAACCCAATATTATTAGTTTGTGTAATCCCCAGTCTTGGTACAATCAACACTGAAGGCACTTGCAAATGACACGGTACAAAATGTAAACCATACTTCGGTGTTCCATTTTTACCTCTTTATTTAAGATTTCATTAAACTTGTTTTTTTTTTTCTTTGTACAAAATGTACCAGAACACTGGCAACGAGTAAGAAGATTTTGGGTAGATAATAATAATGACTTTTATTTTTTTATCATACTCTCTAAACTAAAAAGGCAATCTGGTTTGAATCAACACCAAACACTATTACTGTGCTTGTTTACAAGATATTTATTGAGGGACCATTAAGTGCATCTTTGGATGGATGGAAAAAACAACACTGAATGGAAAAGCTATTGACTCTTTCAGCCCATAAAGAATTCATAAACAGCTACTGATTGGCAGTGTTGGCTGTAAACACACCAACAGCTGCCTTTGTCTCTTCCTGTTCTGTCCTCACACATGCAAAGCACTACAAAATATACAAACCAAGCAGCACAGCACCGGGAGTTATAGGAGAGAAGGAGTGTTTGTATGTGAGCACGCATGTGTAAGAGGCTACGTTTGCATCTTTGTCTGCGTTTGAATATCATTCTCAAAGGGGGAAGTCAGTTTTTCTTAGTCATTCTTTGTTTCAGTGCCCCAAATTGTGAGTGCAGTGTCAGTTTATAGACACTAATGATGGCCAGAGGGGGTGAAAAATGTTTTTTCTGTCATCAAACTGAATTAAACATCAAAATTAGATTCTTCTCGCTCAGTGTGATCACATTCCTTTGAACAGGAAAATTAACTGTTAACAGTTTTAGGGTTTGAAATTTGATTATGCTGGTGGAGATGTCAACTTGTGCACATTTAATGAGTACTGAACTTCAATACAACTTTGAGGAAATTGTACTTTTCTTGAGTACTGTGCAACTTTTTATTTCAATTTTCTAATTGCAATTCAGAAGTAAATATTGTACTTCTTACTCCACTACATGTATTTGACTGTAGGGTCGCGTGGCCCCTTGTTCGAGTTGTAAGCATCTGTAACCAATAACACATTTTCCTCATAAACTTCTCAGATGGTTTTAGGGCCAAAGTGTCCAATATTTCACCCAAAGAGGTGCCAAATACTCATTTGTATAAAAGAACCGTCTCATTTGTGATGCACCACAGAAAATCAAAGAGACGTCCTTCTGTTGACCCTCAACCCAGCAACCCACAGAGCAACTTGCAGCAAGCCTCCCTCTTATTCCACTGCCAAGATCTGTACTTCTGTCTTGCTTTGAAAATGTTGTGGAGGAGTCGGGCTGCACTGTGCTATTGTTTGTCAAGGATAATGGCATAAGGTCAGCTGACAGAGACATTGTTTACGAGCGTGATTATTAAACGCACACACTGTAAACCACATAGCCTGCATGAATAAGTATTCAACTATTGCACTTTTCTTCCCTTTTAAGTTTAATTGAAGCAAGGTCATAATTAAGTTAAGTGTCCTCAAATGTCACGTTTGTTTTTTGCCTTTCAGCCCTGGAATAATAGTGTCAACAGAGAGACCCCACACAATGAGTAAAAGCCGGCCATATTAACGTTTAGCTAATAGAACAACACACTAACTTGCATCATGACCACATACTATGATCTTTAAAGATGGCTCCTTTATAACATATACACTGTAGATCTGAATGTGTGCTTCTCAAAGAGTGAAAAGACAATGAAAACAAAGTGAGAGTATAGGCTGCTAATGGTGCGTTACTGTTTTGGGTGAAAACAGCAAGTGGCCAACATGACACAGGTGCAGGAAAAGGTTTGGCTAGCGGGTCACTGAAATGAAAACACTTTGGCGATGTGTCTTTTCTGTATTGAGGAAGAACGGCCTTCATGAACTGCTACAGCACTGAATAACTGCAACGTAGAACAATATATACAAGATATGATTTAATTTGTTGCGGTGCTCCAAATGTATAAATTAGGTCTATTAGTACATTTTACTGGCAGCACCTTCTTCAGTCTGTCCTCCTATTTGGTTAAAAACCCAAAATAAACATATCTACGAATATACTGTTTTGAAGCATATACTGAGCACATTTTTCAGCATGTTGTGACATTTTAGTACATTGGTAATTATTGCAAACAGTTCACAAGATAAGCTGTATGCCAACAAGAAAGTCAAGACAGTCATGTGTGATCTTTACATAGTGCAACAGCGTCTGTGAACTGTAGGTCTCACATTTAGAAGAGCGGCTGTTGTTAATTTCCAGTCTTACCTGATCACCTGTCTGTGGTTTCTTCTAGCTTCTGCGAGTTCACCTGTTGTCTGTCTGCTCTCACGTTTCACATCAGCCTTTCTTTTTTTTTTTTGCTTTCTCTGTAAAATGGAGAGATGTTGTGCAAAGGTTGAACGAGGTGTGCTCTGCAGTTACTTCCCAGAAGGACAAGTTAATGAGTAACTTTCTAACTAAGGTGTACTCCCTCCCACCTACTGTTGAGTCTCCCTGGCCAATGGCACAGCAGACCTGTTCAGGGCCACTGTTGTCACTCAGAGGTGCCAAACCAGGAAGAGGTAAAATATTAGCAATATGTCATGTTTGAAAATGATAACTACCAGTGTGCGTTTACAAGTGAAGCTGTGAGCAACCGGTCAAACCTGTTTTTTTTGCAAATATATTTTCTGTTAGTGCAGCTGCAGTTCCAGTGGGTAATCAAATAATCTTGTTTGATATCTGCTTTGTATGTCTTTTGACTCTTGTAGTGTGTGTGTGAGACAGGAGTTTAGTTAGTATGCCTGCCAGGAGCCACGCCTTTGCTTTGTTTATCTAAAATGTAAACCCTCCCCTCAGTCCTTTTCAGATAAGGGAGGAAATCAGACAAGATACAGTTTTGTTTGTTTAAGACGTACAGCCCGAGGGAAGAGAGCAGACCTCTGGTGGCTGTGAAAGGAAAAGCGAGGTAACCCTGAAAACAATAGGGGCACTTCCTGGCCACTCTGCATCTCTACATCTTCCTCCCTTACTCTTCCTCCTTCCCTTCCTCCATATGTTCCAGGATGCTTCAGCTGCATGTCTTGGGGCAGATGGCAGGGACAAGGATGGGTTGGGACAGTAAAATGATAACTCAGCATCAGCTGTAAGAAACAGTAGGGGATTCCCACCACAGATACTAGGGGCTGTTTGCTGTTGTTTGGCTGTTGGATTATAGTCATGTCATGCTTTTTCTATTCATTATCTAAAAAAAAAGACCTGATCATCGATAGCAAAAATGATACTTTTATGATCATTGTGGGTAAATTTGGTCATTGCAGGAAAAGTACAGAGTTTGATTGGGATACGTATAAGTAATATCTTTATTTAACATGCGTTCACGGATGTTTTGAACACTTGGGGGCAGCAAAAACAAGCTGTTATCACAACAGACTCGATATCGCTTTTCATCTTGTTAGTAAAGAGTTGCTTATTTACACACCGAGTGTATGGAGAGTAGCGTTCATTTAAAGTTGTGTTTGTGTCCAAGTGTAATATGCACTCTACTTTTAGCTCTATCTTGCGCTCCACCAACTCATGAGAGAAATATGTGTCTCTTAAACTGCGAAAAGCTCCACCATGCTCCACACTGTACATGACACAACGGTCAAATAAGGAAAGGTGCACAATCGTTAATGTAAAATTTACGGATAGAAAGTAAATGTGACCTTGTGCACAGAAGAAAATTACATCTAGACAGCTGTAGCTGTGATCAATGTCTTATCGGAAAGGTATTTTAGTTCATATTTTTCAAAATGATTAAGATTTGGATGCATATTTCATGTCAAACGTTTTGATGGTAATGTCTTTCCGTCCATTTGGACGAACATAAACAAGGTAATTAGTGACACCAGCTGTATTCAGATTCTGGATAAGACTTTTGCAAGAGACCAGGGACTCCCCCCTCCCCCCTTTTTTTTCTACCATGGGATGTTTACTGTTTGTCCTCTCAGTGAAGTGGTGGAGGTTGGGTCTGATGTCAAGGCCCCTCTGTGGGCAAGATGTGAAGGCCTTGTTAAGTCTTTTAAGAGGAGGGAAATAACAACACGTGTCGCACTGTACATAACAATGGACAGTTGGTTGAGGAAGAGCTATGTGACAAACAAGCCTGGTGATTAAGCATCAAGAAGAGACGCGCAACAGGCTCAAATGATTTTTTTCTTGCCTCTTATAAAATCCCCTGCTGCAGCCATTGTGATGTGCATCCACCCAAGTGTCAATTTTACAAGGTGACAGATGCAAATTGTGCACATTTTTGCGAGTCCATATGTAAGCACCATCTGGAAATATGATAATGTGAGCGAGGCTCCCTGCACATCTGTAAATCTGTCAATGAAACAGCTGCAGTTTTATTTAAAGCCAGCATTATTCTCATTCTCATTCTTGCAATGAGTTGTATGTTAAATGTGATACTTTATATCTGGGCTCTAATTGTTTTAATCAAGGTGCTATGTGAAATGTGCTTCACCCACTTTCAACATAAAGGTTGTTTAAATTTCATCTAAATTTAATTTAATGTAAGATTTCCTTGACTCACTAACCTGCAGTGGGAAGAGTCTGTATTTGTTTGTCTTGAGTTTCTGCCATGTCTTGCAGGCGTAAAACTGTATATATAGAAAGACATGAATATTACTTTAGTAGTATTACTAGTTATTCTCTTTAATGGTGGGGGTGTTTATTTTGTTTGACTTCTTACTCTTCAAGGTGGATGAAAATGAAGTCAAACTTAAAACTGGATACCAAAAGCATTCAAGCCCACGTTTAATTACCTGAATGCTTCCCTTGTGAGGAAAATGATTTATCCAAATGGCGTGTTAATCATAGTCTGTAATATCCTGCTGTTTGTTTTGGATGTCATGGTTGTGTGAACGCACTCTAAAAGACTAACAATAGGCTGACTGATAAACTCGCTGTAGACAAATGTCACAGGCACACAAACACACACTTATGGAAGTTTAAAGTCATAGCTGTATTAAGAATATCAGCGACTCCATGTGTTGCACCATTGCCTGGTTAGTGGAGATCTTAGGGAGAACTTGGGGAGATTGATGTAAAAGTCAGTTTTTATAAGATCCAACTGTGCATATTTCTAATCCCTTGGTGAATGCTGTGAGAATATTTATGAGTAAAGTGAGCGTGCTGCATGATTTAGTAATGCTTCAGCAAGGAATTTGTGTTCCAAAGGCCTCATATGGTGGTGATAATGACTCAGTATGAAAGACTGAGTAATACTACTTTTTCAGGTTAGCCCTGCAGAAGAGATCTGTGCTTCCTCTACAGGGGTTCAGTCTGTGTGCAGTAGGGAATCATTTGGAGGCGCACACTATTTGGCTTTAATTAAACCAATACACACATTTAGCTGTTTGAAATCCCTAGATGGATCCATTCTCATGCATTTTGGATGGAAGCCTCTAGAAAGCTTAAATAGCATGCCATTTATGTCTACAAATGCTGGGGTGGTCAATGCAGAAGTCTATAACGCAGGAACCTAGTTCAGCTGAAATGGTTTTGTTCACACTGTTATAAAATATCTATATTGTGATTTTTGCAAGATAACTCCTTGTGAAGAAGGCATTCACAAATAATTAATCCGTGATTAGGGCAAGAATCATGAATCACTGTGGATTGAACTTTTTACTGAAAGTTACCTGCTCTTTTTTCAGTCGCGCCAAACCAACGAATAATCTTTTTAAACAAATGCCTTCGCACGCTTAATCCCAATGGAAGCACAAAGAATGTTGCATTTCTAAAAAAAAACTGGATCTCCCACAGGGCTTGCACTTTATCAGAGCTATTGTATGCAGAGCGACACTGTGTAGCATGTAAGAAAATGTTTTAAACCAACGTCTTCATTAAGTGCGGGTGCGTGCATGCTTTGGCGCCAGCAGCCACCCAGCTCTCTCTTGCTGTGTCCTTCTTACTCGCTGGCTGATGGGAACGACTGCAAAACTGTGTGAGCATGTGTTTGAGTCGGTGTGTGTTGAGCAAACAGCTATCAGACAGGAGCCGAGACCCTCCACCTCCACCCCTGCCGCCACCTCCACAGGCCTTTTCCTGCCTGTAGGGTGATTCCTGCCCCTGCGCTCCCTCCACTTCCTTCACACACATATCAGCCTCCAGCAGCAGTACCTCTTCCTGAATCTGGCTCAAGTTCTCTGGACACTGTGGACAAGCAACAACAGTCCATCCATCTCTCTTTATCTGTCTCTACTTCATTGCTTTCCCTGCTTTCTTTAACTTTCACAGACCAATATTGTATCATTTGAATTCATCATCTCACATCATTTCCCCGGGTAACACGATGTTGAATAGTTCTCCTGGGGCATCTACAACTGTGCACTTAAAGAACTTTTGCACAAAGTCTCTGCTCTTGCATTTTTCTGCCTTTCAGCACATCACTCCCAGGGTGTTATCCAACTTCCTTAAACACGCCTGCAATATTCCAGACACGTTGGCTGGATTTAATACCACTCCCTTTCCACAATTTCCTTGATACGCATGTTCCAATGGGACAGATACTATATTTCTTTAATTAGGATTTTGCACTAACTAGCATAATAATAGCAATGAAAAAAACAGCTGTTCCAATGTTTAGCATCTGGCATTGGCTAACAGAGTAGAAAATAAAACTATGTCGTGCCAATGTGAGACATGCAGCTTTTTTTTACCCCACTCTCCTTTTACTTTTTATCTTGCTGAGTGTGCTGACTGTCTGAAATCATGTCATCCTACATGATCCTACTGGAGGAAGCCTTTTCACATTAAACCCACTCTACTGGTCGACTACATGCTGTTATGATTAGGGCTTCCTTAGTCTGATCCAGAGGCTTTCCAAAACACCAGTAATGAGGTGTGTGCGGTTGTGTATGTGCAGTACCTTCACAAGGTCAGTAGTGGAAATAACATCAACACCCATCAACATCCCTGACTACATGGAGGGTTTGTTTGGTGTCAGGCTGCTCTCTCACCCTGCTCTGCATCTGGTGATGGACCCAGATCACCACATCCCCATTCTCAGTGCCCCAGCCTCACCCCAGGAGGCAGATTGGGAGACTAGAGGTTGGGGGGGGGGGGGCATATTGTTTTTTCCAGTGTGGGACTGATGAATGGACAGGAAGAGAAAGTTTAGGAACATGTTACTTCACCCCGATTACATTTGTGTGTGATCATAAGTCTGTGTGTGTGTGTGTGTGTGTGTGTGTGTGTGTGCGTGTGTGTAGTATAGAGGTGAAGGATTATGAATGTGTATATACTTACAAGTACACGTTCATATTTATATCATCTAGAGTTATATTATCTTACAAAGATAAGATGATATGGCACGTAGTCCACAACTCATCAACTGTGCACATCCTGCTGCTCACCCTGTGGCCATGATGAC